AACCATGCAGGCAAGAAGACAATGAAGTAACATATATAAAGTCTTCAAGGAAAAAAAATAAAACTGTCAATAATCTTGTACCCAGCAAAAGTATCATTCAATCATGAGAGAAAAAATGAACATGTTCTCAGATAAGAAGAAATTAAAATAAATTAAAATTTGTAAAAAAACAAAACCACCAATGTGAAAAATACTAAATGGAGTAACATGGCTATGAAATTGACAAAAGCAACACACAAACCTGACACCAACATACAGGACAATTCATCACAAAAACCAGCATAGAGTAGTATCCAAGCAGCACAGAAATATAAAAAGAAAAAAGAAACTGATTAACCCCCTCCACACACACAAATTAAAATGACAGCAAAAACACATACATGTCAAAGATATCAGTGGTTATTAATGGATTGAATGCACCAGGCAAGGGAAATAGAGTAATAGACTGCATATGAAAACCAAACCCCTCAATATGCTTCTTACAAAAAACACCTGAGACACAAAGACAATAACAGACTAAGAATCCGAGACCAGATAAAAGCATATCAAACATATGGCAATTTCTGTATCTTTGAAATCTTTGAAAATGTATTTATTCCATGTTGAAAGCATCTAGCTCTATGGAGAGCAAGGAAAGTCTATCAGAAATGGATGTTATGGATTGAAATGTGCTCCCCAAAATATGTGTTGTAAATCCTAACACCTATACGTACTTATGGTTATAATCCTAGTCTAGAATAGGTTTTGTGATGACATTTAAGTAGTATTAGTGTAGAGTGAATTTTAATCTCCTGTGAGAAATAAAAAGGTATGAAGTACTAGAAGACACGATATGATTTATAAAATATAAAATATTATTCAAAATCTCCCCCCACTACTAACATATGTCATGTCGTACGTGAAGTTCAAGAAACCAAGAAATGGAAGTTTATAAAAGACAGATATTCCCATGAGCTCCTAGAGAAAATGCCTTCCACTATAACTGTTGACCTGACCTGAGACTTGCAGCCTCCAAAATGTGAGAAACAAATGTTTCTTAAAGTCATCCACTTGTGGTACTTCTGTTATTATATATATATATATATAAACTGGCTAACCAAAAAGACTCAGAAGCCAATTTGAAGACACTTTCCCAGGCCAAAATTAAGGTAATATTATTAATAAAATAAATACTGAAATATATTAAAACACACTATATATATTTAAATCCATGAATCAATAATAAAAGAAAAGAAAAACAATTAAGGAGAGAAAAACAAATGAGGAGGATGCAATGGGCCAGTTAAGCCTGTCAATTCTTAGTATGGAGACCTCAACAGAAGCATTTCCTCACAAATAGGAAGAGTAAGTGCTGAGTAACACCTAAACTTGCAAAAGGCATAATGAACTTAATATTTCTATCAAAACCCAGATAATAAATCATACTGATTAAGTAAATTAGTTGTAAAAATAAAACTATGGCATTTAATAGATAATTACAAATTTGAACATCAAGTCATGGTTTGAACATATTCATTATTTTTAACTATTTGGGTATATAAAATGGCTGAAAGTTAAGTTTCAAAAGTTAGGCATTAAATTATCAAGATATATACTGAAGCATAAGGAATGTTACCAAACACAATTCTTCAATTATCAAATAATAGTTAATATCAAATAGAAGTAATATTTTGCTAAAGATAAATCAAAAGTGGTTGCAGCCATAGTACATCAAGTGGGAACTGGGAATTCAAACTTCACTCAGAGAAGGTCACGCCACAAGGTATATAGTCACTTTGTGTTAGATGGATCTTGGCTGAGAATACCAGCAAGATGCCTACTTGCATCTTATTGATTATGGATAACATTCAATGAATGGGGTTGGTTTTTCATTTGTGCTCATGTGGAACCAATACATGAACCAAGACATTAGAAATGAACAATGGAACACTGAGTTGTTGAAATCAGGAAATTTTGCTTTCAAGCCTGTGTCCTTTACCACACGTACTCAATCCGTATGCTGAGGACACTATCCGAGAAGGTGGGCTATATGAAGAAGCTCGTGATCTCAGGATGGGAGGAAGGTTCATTAAAAGCTTTAATTGCTGAAAGAGAAGAGAACTTGAAGCACTTACTAAGATCCAAGATGATAAAGCTTAGTATAGATTACACTTTAATGTAAAATAAACAAAAAATTTCACAACTGAACTAATAAATCACAGCGTGCTAAAGAGAGAAAAGATCAAAGTTATCAAGAATTAATTTTGCTTGCATACACAATCAACACTTATGGAAGCAAACCACCAAAAAATCTCAAGATATTGCGTCACCCAAGAGGGTGCGAGGGTATTTGAGGGAAGGAAAAAGAGGAGCTGATACCAAGGGCTCAAGCAGAAATAGCATATTTTGAAAATGATTATGGCAACATATGCACAAATTATTTGATGTGATTGCTGCATGGATTATTATAAGAGCTGCAAGAACCCCCCAAAATGATTTATTAATT